GACTAGCGTACAACATATTCCTATAACATTTCAGAATTAGCAGGGCGCATCTGTTGAATACGCTGCTTTTCGAACTCCTGTAGAAACCGCGCTTGGTAAAAAATGGCTAATTAAGTAGCATTCCTTTTGCTGCACTAATTTTTGATGGTCTTGCAAATTCAAATATATTTTATATAAACTACCTTTCAGTCGTTTGATAGATAACTACGCCAGTTTTGTATTTTATAGTCGAAAAGGAGAATAATTATAATCTGAAAAATTTTCCAACTGTCGAATATTTGGATCCGGATTAGTCGTTGCACGAGCACTTGGTGATTTCAGTCTGCAAGGTTCATGCATGACGCATAAATAAAATCACATATTTTCCTTTGACTTTGAAAAGATGTCATACACAGTCCATAAAAGTTTGCAATGGATGCGGACTATGTTGTACATTTCGTGAAGAGCAGTGGTAAACGGATAGGTACAATGCTATATGAATAGACATTGCGCGTTCATAAAAAAATCTTAGAATTAGAAAATTTTAATGAGTTAATCATACTCCTTTTCGAGTATAAAATATAAAGATGACGTGATTCTTTACCAAACAACAGAAATATACCATATGTTCTTAATACTATAAAGAAATGAACGTTTTTATCCACCGAAGATATACCACTCGCAGAACGACGTAAATGTAACTAAATTGTTCGCCAACAGGAAAACCCTTAAGAACCAAAGGATATCCTTTTGTTGGCTCTGTAATTTGTGAAATGGGTGGGTTGCTGCTAAACAAATACAAACAATGATACTTTTGTAGAGGTATTATATAAAGTATATTCATATTTATTTGCGTATCAAAGGCATAAGAAAGCGAATATCCTAATCTGGCGATGTCGCTAGTTAATTAGTTTTACAAACCCGCTTAAGTAATCTTTTCTGATAGGCAACGCAAATCTGTATTTCGTTTATCATTTTATGGAATTGGTCACTGACTGTACATTATCCTTTAACGTATACTAGCGTTTGCAATGGTTTTGCATAAAACTTGAAGCCTCCAGTTGATGTCATATCACGTTTTTGAGATAGTGCCTCTATTAGACGGTTTTGTTAACCAGCAAGGACTTAAGTTACTTTTGTATTTGTGTGGGAGTAAAACCAAAATTTGTCAATTTGACTTTTACCCATTAAAACTCTGCAAAAATATACTTTTGCGCTATGACCGACTTTGTCGAACGTCTATTTAGACGTTAATGACTTTTGAACTGTCCATACATTTGTTTTTTGTCCTAGCTGAAAGCCGCATATAATTAATGATGTGTAATATCGCACTGTATGCATAAAAGACCACAAAACTCTGTTATAAGCACGAAATCGGGTGCGTATGAGCAGCTGTCTGTTTTTACCGACTGCATCCTAAAAATACCGTGCCCCCTGTACATTTGCTCTCACTCTTAGCGATTCTCTCTGATGATACGTTCGAGTGAGAATCGAAAACGTCAGGCCAGCGAAATTCTTTTTCCAGCGATCGCAGCTTACTATTTGTATAAGTAACTCCCTGATTCGTCAGGTTAATCATTCGCTTTGGAAGCCAGCACAAGATAAAGCACATTCTGATATTGAACGATATACGTACTTTAACAACACCTTCCTGAATAAGCCTTATCCGCAAACTGTCAGAGTTTCGTCTGTCCATCTGTCGGAAGACGTCAGGAGAAACTCTTATTCAGTTAGTTTTGCATAAACAAATGGACGATTTTGTGGATGGGTTCGTTTATCATGGTTACAACGTGCGTTAATGTACCTGTTGCAATCACGATACTTTGGGCATAGATTGTTTTGCACAAAATCAGTTTCCTTTTGCAACGTGAGAGCTCGACAGCCGTAGTTAATTTATTAACTACATGGAGGATTAAACCAGAGTGGCCTGTCTAGCATGAAGCTGACAAAGTCAAATAAGCTGCCTACGCTTTGTTTCTAACATAACACGCATGAGATTAAAGTAATGGGCGCGATCTTGACTCTTGCTGATATCAGTGTTATTGAGGACGCATTAAGACGGATTAGTGAGGCTTCCGAAATCCATTTTAGTTTGGAAAAGATTAATTAAGTATGGTTAGAATACTAAGCATTCTGCAACATAATTCTATAATTAGCCCGTTACCTCATTATGTGGGCCTTCAGACGAGAGGCCCATTCACTGCATGCAAATTTTGCTCTGCAAAAAATGACTAACTATGTAACATGAATTTTTCTCACTGATTTTGCATGCTCTTAAAAATTCAATTATATTTCATAGTAAACATGCCAAAATATATTCATTCTTTTGCACATTCGGTCGAAAATTACATCTTCTTCCGCTTTTGTAGTCGAAAAAGGGCACAATTCGGTTTTTAAAAGTTTCCAATTGTGAGATTTTTTAATACTGTGAAATGGCCGGTGTTATTGCACCTGAGATCTCCATAACCAACGCCAAACCTGTCAACATGATTGCAGCAGTGGTATCAATCCTTAGTCAGACGAAGGCAACGGAGGAGACTAAGAGCCTCATCCGACACCAAGTGTCGTCTCCTCTAATGGCCCACAGGCCGCGGGAAGTGCTTTCCAAGGTCGAACGTGATACGATAAGAGAACTCAAGGCGGACAAATACTTGGTCATCGTGCCAGGCGGCAAGGGGCGTTCCATGGTTGTGCTGGACAGGAGAGACTACCTTTAAAAAGCCAAAGGTTTACTGGAGGACCGACAGTTCTATGTCCCATGTGCAACGAACCCTGTAAAAGCGCTGACACTCGAAATTAATGCTACACTGTTAGCCTTGGAGAACTCAGGTGCAATAACACCGATCGACAGACGCATGGCGAGACCCCAAGATACGGCTTTGGTCCGATTCTATGGCCTCCCTAAGGTGCACAAATACGGCGCTCCTCTCCGACCCATCGTGCCGCTCAAAGGTACTCCAACATACGGACTGGCTATGTGGCTGTTCCGGCGTCTTAAGTTCCTGACCGCTGAGTCATACAGCACGGTCTCTTCGTCAGCAGAATTCCTGGAGAAACTCAAAGGTGTAAGCCTCCATCCAAATGAGGTCAGGGTATCTTTTGATGGGTTTGCCGATTTCGGGGTTCATCGCCGAGCAGTTCCTGCAACGGTTAGAGTCGCTGGTATTCCAACACCACCGACCGAAATTCTGGGCCCGGTATGTGGATGATACCTTCGTCGTTATCGGCCGGGATCAACTGCTGACATTCAAGGAACGTCTGAATGCGCTCTTTCGGACATACAATTTACGATGGAGGAAGAAGAGAACAACCAGTCGGCCTTCCTGGATGTTCTCGTATGCCGCAAGGATTGTGGTGGACTAAAGACCAAAGTGTTCAGGAAAGCGACAAATACGATGCAAGTACTGAACTTCAACAGCAACCACCCAATTAGTCACAAACGCACTTGTGTAAGGACGCTCTATCGGCCTGTCGAAACGCACTGCAGTGAGACGGAAGACAAGATTGTCGAACTGCAATACCTCCGACGGGTCTTCAAAGCCAATAGCTACCCGCGCAACTTTGTCAACCCGTGCATGCGCAAAAGGGACAAAAGGCCTAACCGCACGGACACCAAAGTTTGGCGAGCGCTTCCATATGTCAAGAACGTTTCGGAAGCTGTTGGCCGCCTTCTCGCACCAATTGGGGTTGGAATTGCACACAGACCGGAGGCAACCATCAGGCTTCAGTTGATGAAACCGAAAGACCCACTGCCACGGCAAGAAACGTCTGGAGTCATTTATCGGATCTGGTGCAGTTGCGAAGAAAGCATATAGGTCGGAGAAACCGGAAGACAAGTCCAAACAAGAATGGCCGAACACGCTGCAGCGGTGCGGAGAAATGAGGCCATCTCTCAAGTTGCGGCTCTTTTCGACGGGTTCCGGCCACACATTCATATTTGACGAGGCCAAAATTCTCGCAAGAGGTGACAACCGCGTGAGCCGGGAGCTGCTTGAGTCATGGTTTACTGGCCCCCAGTTCATCAACAAGTGCAATGATCTTCACCTTCCAAACTCGGTGCTGAGACTTCCTCTAGGCGGAATAATTGGCCACGCGAGAAGCGCACAGTTGAACACTTCTCCCAACAATCGGGTCGGCGCGTCAGATGGTCGAGCAATCATCACACCAACATGCAACGCACATGATGAAATTGCAGCAATTAACGGCGCGAATATCGGCCATCACGCCACGTGCAACGATTCCAGATGCAGGGGAGGGAGCTGTGAAAATTCATAGTTATGCTGTAGCATGGCTACTGCATCCTATAACTCGTGAAAGGACTCTCGGTATTGGATGCTGGAATGTACGAACGTTCCTGGACCCTGGTACCCAAAGTCTGACCGCACGCAGCCTTCATCAGTACAACGTGGATGTCTGCTGTCTGTCTGAGGTACGACTCCCTGACTCGGGCTCTCGTGAAATAAAGATCCCGGGAGTCGAATCCCACTTCACCCTGTACCACAGCGACCCCCGCGATTCCTCTGGTCGACACGGTGTGGCGATCGCCTTATCACAACAAGCGGAGCTTGCGCTACTTGCTTGGAAACCAGTAAATGACCGGATGGCCTACGTGAGACTGAAGGGTCACATTACGAACATCTCCATCGTCGCTGTGTACGCACCAACTTCGGCTGCCGAACAGTGCGATAAAGAGTCGTTTTACTCTCAGTTGCAAGCGCTAGTTGAAAGACTGCCTCGCCGCGATCTGCTAATTGTTGCTGGCGATTGGAATGGTCGAACTGGACCTGGCGACCCCACAACCAGTCATCTTCTTGGGCTTTGGGCTTGGTTCCCGATGTGAAAATGGTGAGAGATTGCTGAACTTCGCTGGTCGAAACTAACTGCTTGTCACCAACACATGCTTCCAGCATCGCAAAAAACATCTGCTGACCTGGTATTCAAACGACGGTCTTACGGCCAGTCAGATTGACTACATGCTAGTCCGCTCAAGGTTCCGCAGCTGGATTCACGATAGCAGATCGATGCGTGGTGCCGAGACTGGTAACGCCCATGGGTCGGACCATGTCCTCGTCCGTACACGCCTGAAAGTTCACCTCTCATCCGCACCAAAAATGCCACGTCCTAGACGCCTCAATGTCGCAAAAATCCGGCAAGCCAGCACTGCCGAGGCCCTAAGCAGAGAAATCCGGACCTGTTTTACAGCCCGAGTCAACGGAGAAGTCAGTAACCAGTGGTCGTCACTGAAGACATCAGTCTATGGGGCAGCTGAGAAAATCCTTGGATACACCCAGCGACGCCGCAGTGACTGGATCAGCGGAAGAACCCTGCAGTTGTCTGCTCAGACGGCTAGAGCCAGGTCCCGCAACGATGACTGCTTCCGCCAACTTCGGAAGATGACGGCAAAATCGGCCAGGGATGACCGGAAACAATATTGGGCTGAAATAGCGGCATCCATGGAACGGGCCTCGAACGCTGGTGACATTCGAAAGCTCTATCGTCTGATCCGCCAAGTTAGCGGTAAGCTCTCTACACTGAGTGACTCTGTTCGCGATGTGAACGGCGGCTTTATTGCTGACAACTCGGCCAAAGTCGAGCGCTGGCGTGAGCACTTTGAGCACCATCTCAACTTCGATACCCAACCTGCATTGCCCTTGTTCTCCTCCTCAGCTGATTTTCTTCCCTCTCCTACCTATGCAGTGCCATGCGATCCCCCCTCCGAGGAAGAAGTCGCCGATGCCATACGAAAGTTGCGCAACCATAAGGCACCCGGAGAGGACGGTATACCCGCTGAAATCTTTAAGTCTTGTGTCGACACTCTGGCGCCCTGGCTCCATGAGGTGATTGAACGAGCGTAGAGAGACGAGGTTGTTCCTGATGACTGGGGCTTAGGCATCCTTGTACCTATCCTCAAGAAGGAAGATAAGACGAGATGCGAGAACTACCGCGGCATAAGTCTCATCGACGTTGCTGCGAAGATCTTCGCTATTGTCCTACTCAGACGATTCCAGGCTGTGCGTGACTCAAGGACGAGGCCCAACCAAGCCGGATTTCGTGCTGGACGTGGATGCGCATATCAGATATTCACACTGAGGCGCATTCTCGAATTTCGCCATAGCAGCCAACAACCGACAGCCGTCTGCTTCGTTGACTTTGCCGCCGCGGTCGATTCCGTTCACCGTGAGTCCCTGTGGCGGATAATGGCGCTAGATGGTGTACCGGCAAAAATCATCGCCATGATCAAGGCCTACTATCGTTCCACTACTGCGAGAGTCCTGGTCCGTGACAATTTTTCCCAACCGTTCGGTATTCGGTCTGGCGTCCGACAGGGTTGTATACTGTCACCCATACTGTTCAACTACGCTATTGGCTGGATCCTCGGGAGGGCCCTACGCGACAGTGACGGTGTTGAATTTGCACCCGGACATCGACTGACTGATCTCGACTATGCCGATGATATCGCCTTACTTGCTTCAAGTTTTTGTGATCTGCAGTCTATGGTGTCACGGGTGAACAAGGTCGCTAAATCAGTCGGTTTGTCCATAAACGCTGGGAAGACCAAAGTATTCTCAAACTGCATCCCTGACCAGGAGAAGGCACACCTCGGGAGTGATGGCTGACAACTTGAAGAAGTGGACAGTTTTAAATACCTCGGGGCGCGGCTGCTGCCTAATGGACAGAGTAAGGACGACATTGTCTCCCGAATCGATGCTGCCCGCTGGGTATTTTCAAGCCTTCGGAAATGCCTGTGGAACCGACGTGACCTCTCCATCGCCACTAAGATTCGCGTGTACCGTGCATCTGTCCGGTCTGTCCTTCTCTACGGTTGTGAATGCTGGGCTTTGCGCGTGGCGGATGAGCGAAAACTGGAGGTATTTGACCACCACTGCTTGAAGACCATCCTTCGAGGGGATTCACGGATTTCGTCTCAAATGAGATAGTCCGCGCTCGCTGCGACAACATCGCGCGGATAACTCAGGCCATCCAAGAAAGACGACTGAGGTGGTTCGGGCATGTTCTTCGTCGTCCACCTCAGGAGCTCAGTGTTACTGCCCTCGATCCGGCACCGTTGCCCCATTGGAGGCGTCGAAGAGGGGGTCAGTTCAAAACCTGGCTCGACACTGTCCGTCAAGACATGGAGGTGTTTCTTGGATCTTCGGTATTCAAGCTCCGTCGTTAGCGAAGGGAATGGGTTGAGCTGTCTAGATCTGCTGCCGCGGATCGTCACGCGTTGAGAGGTACAATTCCGGACATCATCGAGGCCGGCTAGATCAGGCATGATCGCAGCCGTATCAAGTACAAGTACATCCTATAAATACTTCAGTCTAATGTGCATGAACCACTCTTATCTGCTTTTGTCTCTGATGATGGATTCGAGCAGAATTCCAAAACGTCAGGCTAATAAAGCTCTTGGCCCGATGATCGTGTCCTCTTCTTCTTCAGTCTATGTGCGTCTACCTGGCTGAGCAGATGACTGAGCAAGTAAAACGACAAATGCGCGATAACAATTATAAACTTTTGTTGTCTAAATTTTCATTAGATTTTTTCCAGGAAGTTTACTGTATGCTGTTCGACACATGGGTGATTGCATAAGGTTTGACTTTGTGTTGCAACAGCTTGTTACCAGACATCGATGCAATTTTGTCAATTTGTGTTTATCGAAAGGCCGCTGACTATGACAAAGAGGATTCCGCCTGATTTAGCCAAAGAGATATCATAGGAATTGGAGTTTGCATAAAATCTCATGCTGACAGGCCAGTCGGTGATTAACAAACGACGGCGCACCATTTTCCGCCTACCAATAGAACGTTACTTTAGCAAACCTAATTCGTAGTTTTTGACAACAATGCTTCCTAAAAAGTACGGGTAAATAATACGCGGTTCTTAACGTTTCTAATCCATTGCCTGAAAAGGTAGAATATGAAGTTTGTGCATGTACGAGTCTTCAAATAAATATTTCTTACGAGGATTTGTCGAATTATGTCAATCTTTCGCGTTCCTTTTCGTGTTGTCTAGGACATAATTGCAAACAGCAAACATAAAAACTAATCGGCAACATAAATGAGACGCCCACAACGAAGACCTGAAATAATTATTCTATGGACCATTTAGTGAACCTTTTCGAGTACTGCGATATTCTATTGTCAAATGCCCAGGTATTTCACCCTTTGTTCCGGTAAATCCATAGAAAAATTAGACGATTAGTCCGCATGAAAATTAATGATGATTTACCTGCAGTCGGAATAGGTAAAGTTCTTTTCCGAGTCAAAACCGTTTTATTATCTTTGCTCATTTTTCAGCCTGGCTCTACAATTACACATGCTAATAGTGCTGTGCACGTTCCAATTCTAAACAATGCAAGCTGACAGTTTGATCGTCCTGCTCCGAATGCTCCAGAGCATGGTGAGAGCAGGCACGGTGACTTGTGGCTTGCGCTGTATCTACCGCACTCCCTTCTCCCCATCACCTGAGGCATAGGACATAGTCAGGAAGACTAGAGGCAGGGGTAAGTGCAGGTGTCTGGCATCGAAAATCGGAAAGAAATATTCATGCTAATTATGTAGGCATTTCACAAAAAATATCGGTTTTGCATGCAAACGGTAAGAAATTCATTAGAAAGCTGGCATCCTGGGGTGCCTGAAATATTATAAAATTCTGTTGCAGGCTGATTAGATTTACAACCCTACTTAATTAATTTTTCGAAACGAAAACGCATTTCGGAATTTCGGTGGACATTTCATGAGTTAGCCCACCTACTATATTATCCCGAATACTAGGAAACGTTGGGTTCCGCACAAACGTGTAAACTGTTTATTTAAAAGTACTATTTTGATAATTTTTCTGCATGCAAAAAAGACATTTTCCTGAAATTTTAAGCGAATACACCACGTTTTAGGTGCCTAAAAATAACCATCTGGGTGTCTGTCATTCCGTTAGTCCCATACTGCCGTTGCCGGGCCTTTGTGCGAGCTAATTCCCGTTTTACTGGCAATTTTACTAGCCCGTTCTTGCTGTGTAGGTGTATAAAAAGAAGGGTGAACGCGGTGTCGTAGGCGGGAATCCACTTAACGACTGGACTGTTAGCGAAGGCAAAATTACGGTGATTGTATGTACTTTCAGCAATGCACTGACGGCGAAGCTGGAAGATCCACGCACCCAGTTGTTATCTGCGCGTGCTCAAATGAGCATCACACATTGTTAACCGTTCTTGTCGCTTTTAAGCGACAATTTCTAAAGTGGAGTATCTTCAAGAAACAGACGGGGACTGATAGGGGACCCACTGATGAGCCGAACCCATCGCAACTGCGCCATGTGGCGGCAGCATATCGGTAAAACACGCGTGTATGGGCTTTTGGCTAGTGCCTGTGCTGTTGGTATAAAAGCTCCTTACCCAAAAGATTCGAAATTGTTATTTATCTAAGACTAAAATTCCTTATCGTGCGGCGAAACCCCTAAGCTATTCCAGTCACGCTGGGATCCCGGCTTTTAAATCAACTATTTCTCTGCCGCCTACAAAAATCATAATCGGCGCATAGCGATTGCATACGTAGCATGACAGTTTCCAATTGGCTTTTGATTTTGTTGCATTTTCAAATAACTCATGTAGATAAAATGCCCACGAATGTTTTGTCACATATTCACTCAATAGAAAACTGCGTCTTAAAAGTTTTTACCCAAGGAAAGTACAGCATTCAGTTTTAAAACACTTGCGTTTATAAGAATGTTTAAGAGCAATATATATATATACACCAGAATGGCATTACCGACGAAGACAAGGGAGACTGGAATGGCCATTTCTGGCTTATTAGCCGTCGTCAGCCAGCCATACCCAAGCCCGAAGTGTGGATCACTTGAGATTCGAACCCGTGATCTTTGGTCATGGAGTTTGACGCTCTACCATTGAGCCACGGGCCCGTTGTCCTGTCGGTTGTGATCGGGAATATCAATTATGACAGATGGGGGCTCACCGATCAGGTTACAGAACATGCTCGTTCCGTTGTGCCTTGGGGCTCATACTAGAACCCTCGCAGGCAGTCGCACAGCGACTAGTAGTATACATAGATGAGATGGAGCCGACAAAGACAAGGTAGACCGGAATGGCCATTTCTGGCTTATAAGCCGTTATCAGTTGTCACATATTCACTCAATAGAAAACTGAGTCTTAAACGTTTTTACCCAAGGAAAGAATGTTTAGGAGCAATATATATATATATATATACACCCATACGCTACACAGGGAAACTATAATGTATGCAGTTCGGAAGGAATAAAACTAAGTGCGGATTCTGGCCGGGTTCAAAATTACTCGGGAATGAATAAGCCGAAAGCTAATCTTCTACAAATCGAAACTCTAAGGGAAGTGTTATTTGCCATTAAGCTAGTAGAAGAAGGATATTTTCTGCCTTCTTTAAAGGATACTTGAATTTAAATGGAAACTGAAAATTAGTGGGGAATCATCACACTACATAAATATTTATTTTTGCCAAGTGTAATGTTCGTGGGTGATAGAAAATAAGCCCGTTCAAGAACCGACATCTTGGCGTATTCGCTGTATCTTAGGATTGCGTTGCATGATAATTAGTACTTCAATCACATCTAAGTAATATTTTAGTCGAAAACACACTTTGGAATTTCAGGTAGTATTTCATGAAGTAGGCCAGATGCCATACCATTTATTTGGTGAAAGTCTTACGTTCCGATAACCCTCATATAATTGCGGGATTACTCGATATTTCAGACTTGCGTTTTCTATATCTAGCTAAAGGTTGTGGTTGTTAAAACAAATATTATATGCAACACTCCTACACGAATTTTCATCCTTCGCATGGCAGAGATGTAAGGAAAGCTTCATTCTTTCCCGGGACATTTCTGTGAAATATCATATGCGTGGTATTCGCGGTTCACCATTTTCTTCGACGTAGTGTTCCTTCGCTAACTGGTTAGCTTGGATGCAAAGTACGCGCCTTACGACCCCGGCTAGAAATGATGTTTTGGACAGCTAAATGATTCTAATATTGAGTGTATTTTTGCAACAATTGGTGTGAAACGTCTTTGTAATAATTTGTGATTTTATTTGTGATCATGGCATTTAACAAGTCTCCAACCCTAGAAAAGTTGCTTTTGATGTTTCCATTTCATCTGATTTTTTCAAATAGTCATTTGGACTCTCATATCATACCTTTACAATAAAAGTTACAATTTAGTCTTCTTAAACATATCTGCTACCCATAATTCCCCGCGGTTGAACACGGTAATATGGACCAGTCATGTTAATGGCGGCCTTGTCAACAATTCAAGACTTGGGTGGCGTTGAGGTTATGAAGGTTAGTTTTAGGCTTAAGGTTGATGTTAGGACACGTGATTAATTGACATCATGGAACTAAGGACGGTGTCATTTGTTGTCCAGGACCTCATATCACTGTGTCCAACATTTCCTTGTTTAAAAAAGTAAGCTTTTCTCTCGTTTTGCCCCAGCATTTTATTTCGTCTGATTTATATAGTTTGTGAAACGTCCATGCAGGACAGCCGTTTACGTTTAAATGTCATTTTCGCAGTACGGGCTATTTTAAAAAAACAGGAAAACATACTATTCTGAAGTCTGTAACTCCACTGATGAACT